ATTTTTAGATTCTCAAACCTAAAAATTACTCTAGAAGGAAATCTCAAGTTATGATGGGTGTTCACATATATTAAAAATATAAGATATGAGAACTCTTAAAATGGCTTTCTTAGGCTAGACTAAATTAGGAGACTTCATGCTGTCAGTGTCCCATATAAAATAGTTTAGGCCTGTTGCCTTTCCTGAGGCAAAAGCTACATGGGTTAGCAGATAAAGTAAATATACTATGAGAAAATTTCAAAGATCACAAATGACATACGTATTTTGTGCTACCTTCTCTCTGTCTCTCTGTCTTCTGTCTGTCTCTCTCCTTCTCTTTTCTATCTATCTATCTATCTATCTATCTATCTATCTATCTATCTATCTATCTATCTATCTATCTATCTATCTATCTATCTAACTATCTATCTATCTAAGCCTGGGCACTGTCACTAAGCATTTTTGTTCAAGGCTAGCATCTACCATTTGAGCCAATTTCTGGCTTTTCAGTGGATAAATGGAGAAAAGAGTCTCACTGATGTTCTTGCCTAGGCTGGGTTTGAATTGCAATCACCAAATCTCAGCCTCTGAGTAGCTAGGATTATTTATATGATTCACCTGACCTTGGCTTGCAGTGTTTTGTAAATTAAAAAACAAGCAAAAAAAGAAAAAGATCTTCTAAAGCAAATCCAGACATTTACATATTTGCTTTACTGGCAAACTAAAATTCATCAATGAAAGAATTTTAATTTTTCAAATTTTAAAGATAATATAAAATGAGAGATTAGAAATGAAAGCATAATGATTAACAACAGTATCCACTAAACAAATACTTACTCAAACACTGGTTAGAATAAATGAAAGGAAGAATAGAGAACAATCTCTAATAAAAGGCTAACTTTGAACTTGATTGAATCTGTCACTTCCACCATTTAAAAGCATCATTATAATAATGCAATTTATTGCAAAATAGAATTTCATTCCCTATGACACTTCAATAACATTATCTTCTGAATTTTACTGTTTCAATTTATTTTGCTTTAACATATGAGATTCTGTTATCATTAAAATTAACAGAATACCAAAAAAAAAAAAAAGACTGACTTGTTTGTTTTATGTGGAAGTCCAGCGAGTTAACTCTAGTGCTTTATGTTGGTTGTTGATGCTTAACTGAATGATCATGTGGCTGTTTACACTCAAAAAAATGGAATCACTTAATAAAAATCCATCTATCCTTAGTAACACTGACTTCAGTATGGCCTAATTACCATATTATAGGTGAAAACAACAAAAAATTTTCATGATACTACCTACTTTTTATTCTTTCACCAGTTGATTCACAATTACTTTAATATCTGATTCCTATACTAGGCCCCTCACCACATCCCTAAGCAACAGTCCAAAATACCTTGAAACTGAAGTTGAAATATTGATTTTACTTTGAAGTATGATTTCTCCATTCTTATTTTTTAAGAAAAACAACCTTGATAATTGATGGAACATGGGAAACTAGGTAAACACATCAATAAGGTTCTAATTCAAGGTTTTCTGAGCTATATAAAAACTTCAAAGGTTTTTCTTTTTTTAATTCAATGTCTTTAAAAACAACAAGTGGTGATGGGAAGGGAGGAATGAGAGGGAAAGGGGGAACAGCTGACACTAAGCAAACGGAAAGAAGTGTAAATATCACCTGATATGGAAGAAATAATTGTATCCATAACTTTATAGACCATGATAATGACAATTTGCCTTGTGAAGGTTAAAATGTTTTTGTGACTTTAAGTATCATTATTCCACAATACTGTGAAATATGTAAAATTTACCTAATATGTGAAATTTACCTAATCTCAATTTAAAATAAAAGGGCTGGGAAGGTGGCTCAGTGGTAGAGTGCTTGACTTGCATGCATGAGGCCCTGGATTCAATTCCTCATCATATAAGCAGAAAAAGCCAGAAGTGGTGCTATGGCTCAAGTGGTAGAGCACTAGCCTTGAGCTGAAGAGCTGAGGGAAAGAGCCCAGGCTCAGAGTTCAGGCCCACAACCAACAAAAAACAAACAAAAAAAAAAGATTGGGCTGGGAAGGTGGCTCAGTGGTAGAGCACTTGCCTTGCATGCCTGAGGCCCTGGGTTCAATTCCTCAGCACCACATAAGCAGAAAAAAAAAACAAAAAAACTGGAAGTGGCGCTGTTGCTCAAGTGGTAGAGTGCTAGCCTTGAGCTAAAGAGCTGAGGGACAGCGCTCAGGCCCAGAGTTCAGGACACACGACTGGACCCAAAAAGAAAAAAAAAAAAAAGAAAAGAAAAGTGAGAGAAGGGGTGGGTTATGAGTGATGGGTGACAGTGTTGTCAGACTCTTTGTATTCATCTAGTGTTGTGTAGAATGGGAACTTCTTTTTACAACCACTTAAAGATAATAATTTTTTTTTTTTTTTGTCGGTCGTGGGGCTTGAACTCTGGGCCTGGGCGCTGTCCCTCAGCTCTTCAGCTCAAGGCGAGCGCTCTACCACTTGAGCCACAGCCCCACTTCCGGTTTTCTGGTGGTTTATTGGAGATAGGAGTCTCACGGTCTCTCCTGCCCCGGCTGGCTTTGAACCGCGATCCTCAGATCTCAGCCTCCTGAGTAGCTAGGATTACAGGCGTGAGCCACCAGCGCCCGGCTAATAAAACATTTTTTTAAGATGCAAGTAAAAGGAACTCTTACAGATTAAAAAAACAACAACAACAAAACACAAGCGTCAGAAAAGAAGAAGAGGGTCTGGAAAGTGAGAATAGTCAGAAAATATGAATTTTGAAAAACCAAAATGGGATTAAGATTAATGGCAGTATGCTATTTTTAATTTTATACAGGCATGTATAAAACAAAGAGTGAGAAGCCCTCTTTTGAAATCAACACCACTTTTATAATTTTTACCTAGCCCAAATCCCCAAGGAGTTAACAGCAAAAACGTATTTTCTAGACGTTATGTCGAAAAACAAATTTTACAATATTGGTGGCGGTGGGGAGATGGAAAGGGATGATAAGAAGAAACAAAGGAGGAGGCAACAATGCTTGATAAGAAATGTGCCCGTGTAATTGGAACCCTCTGTACAGTATTTTCACAATAAAAAATGCAAAAAAGTATATTCTTAGTGCTAAAGTAAAACACTGGTTTTAAAAATTAGCTATATTTTAAAACTAGTGCCTATGTAAGTCACTTTCTTCCCTTCACAGGACAACTGTGACATTTCACTTTTTATCTAACAGAAAACATGGAAAAAGTCTGCAAAAATCTGTTGTATCTTTTTTTCTTCTTTGTTCTTATCTATGTTGTTTCTTGCTGGATACTTAAACTTTTAAAAATCATTGTAATTGTATATTTCATATTCAAGTTAAGTGACTAAAAGATACATTTGTGAGTTATTAGTTAATAAACTTGAAAAATTACTGTGGAAGTACTAGCTTGGTGTGAGTCAAACAATTAAAAGTAATAATATAATGAGAACAGCAGTGATAATATTAATTCAAACTAATTTAGTAGTTACCTAAACTTTCTTAGTTTTTCTTTGTTTGTTTTTTGTTGTTGTTGTTGATTTTTGGTCATGGGGCTTGAACTCTGGGCTCAAGGCTAGTGCTCTACCATTTAAGCCACAGAGCTACTTTCGGTTTTCTGGTGGTTAACTGGAGATAAGAGTCTCACAGACTTTCCTTGCCCAGGCTGGCTTTGAACAGTGATCGTCAGAGCTCAGCCTCCTTAGTAGCTAGGATTACGGGCCTCAGCCACTGATACCTGGGTGTGATTTAGTTTTGTATAATATCATAGTTCTGAAATTTAAGAGGAAGAGACTAATTAGCTGTGACTTTAAACTGTAAATGATTTATAATTTTGAGAAATGGGACATCTTTAAAAACAAACACAGTCTCTACATAAAGATCATAAGTCCAGGTCTATCACTGATTTATTCAAACTAGCTTACCTTCAATGCCCAGTACCATTATGAATGTCAACATTGGGCCTGGGTTAAAAAAGGCACAGCATTCAGAGACTGATGATCATACTAGATTTGCTAGAAAGCAGCAAGGCTTAGAATGAAGAGCTGGGCTATGCCCTGTTCTTCTGCATACTTAAAGGGCAGTACCACTGGATGGAGAATCTGCGTAAACGCAGTTTGGCATTTTAAAGCATAGCGCTACCAAAACTGCGATTTGGTTTTATAATAACTTGTACTTTCAGTGAAACATTGATATCCATTTTAAAGAATATCTTCTTAGATATTGAATACCCCATTAGTTCTTTGAATAGCCTGTTTTACTGATATACTGTAGTTGCTTTTTTATGGTTATTGACTAATGGCACATAATTTATTCTCAATGATTAAATAAAACAGTCTGACATTAATCTGAACTTCAGTTAAGAATAAAATACAGGTATATCTATGCTAAGTTAGATTTAACACTTCCTTAATACTGTAAAGATTCAGGTCACCTTATACAAATAAGACTATAGAAAGACTCAACTGAAAATGCAAAATCCAGCTAAATACCACTCACTATTTCTAGTCCATTTAACAGCTATGTTATAATCTTTCCTACTAATGTTATCTGCATGGACTTCACTCATTTGGTTGGAACAGTATTATTTATGCATATTCTTTGTATTTTGCCTAAGTGTGTTGGCGGGGGGCAAAATCCACCATCACTATAGGCCATTTTCTTTTTTTCCCCCCTCAATAACAGTTAGAATGAAATATATAAAATGACTATTGAAAGTATATAAAACTAAAGATTCCAAATAAGCTTGGGAGAATATTTATTACATTTAGTGAAACCTCAGACTTCTAAAGATTAAAAATTTCCAACTGTCTACTGTCTCTTGAGATCCGAGTGCTTTTAAAGCATAGTTTAACAAGGATGAAGTTATCTAAACATACTAAGATAACTGTAAGCTTTAATATTGTTTATATATGAAGTAGTTATAATTAGTAAATATTATGTCATTTTCCTTTGTCCTAATTCTTTTTCTCTTTTATTGCATATAGCATAATGCCGCTATTCCTCCAAGGACTCCACAGCATGGGATATGAATAGTATACTCCTAAATAAATGAATTGCTCAATATCCTATGACCATCTATACATATTCCATCCTCAAACAGCATGCCAACCTTTTACCATTAAGGAGATAACAACCTTCTTTTCTCCACGATGCATGACATCTTTCAGCAATGCAGTTGTGGCACTCCTACTTATTTCCGTGAAGAAAAGCTCTGCAGTTCTATGGCATTCATCATTTGACAAACACAAGTATTTTCTTTATCAATCAGCGCTTACTGTACTTACTAGAAGTAACTGTGAAATCCTCCTGGACCCATTAAATTTCTGAAGAAGAAAGCTAAGATGAAGGACATGCCACTCCGAATTCATGTGCTACTTGGCCTAGTTATCACTACCTTAGTACAAGCTGTAGATAAAAAAGTGGACTGCCCACAATTATGTACATGTGAAGTCAGGCCTTGGTTTACCCCCAGATCTGTGTATATGGAAGCATCTACAGTGGATTGCAATGATTTAGGTCTTTTAAATTTCCCTGCTAGATTGCCTGCTGATACACAGGTTCTGCTCCTACAGACGAACAATATTGCAAAGATTGAGTATTCCATAGAATTTCCAGTAAACCTTACGGGCCTGGACTTATCCCAAAACAATTTATCTTCAGTCACCAACATTAATGTAAAAAAGATGTCTCAGCTCCTTTCTGTGTACCTAGAGGAAAACAAACTCACTGAGCTGCCTGAAAAATGTCTATCTGGACTGAGTAACTTACAAGAACTCTATATTAATCACAACTTGCTTTCTACAATTTCACCTGGAGCCTTTATTGGCCTACATAATCTTCTTCGACTTCATCTCAATTCAAATAGACTGCAGATGATCAACAGTAAGTGGTTTGATGCTCTTCCGAATCTAGAGATTTTGATGATTGGGGAAAATCCAATCATCAGAATCAAAGACATGAACTTTAAGCCTCTTATCAATCTTCGCAGCCTGGTTGTAGCAGGAGTAAACCTCACAGAAATACCTGATAATGCCTTGGTTGGACTTGAAAACTTAGAAAGCATCTCATTTTATGACAACAGGCTTATTAGAGTGCCCCATGTTGCTCTTCAAAAAGTGGTAAACCTCAAATTTTTGGATCTAAATAAAAATCCAATTCACAGAATACGAAGGGGTGATTTTAGCAACATGTTACACTTAAAGGAATTGGGGATAAATAATATGCCTGAGCTGATATCTATCGACAGTCTTGCTGTGGATAACTTGCCAGATTTAAGAAAAATAGAAGCTACAAATAACCCTAGACTGTCTTACATTCATCCAAATGCATTTTTCAGACTCCCCAAGCTAGAATCACTGATGCTAAACAGCAATGCCCTTAGTGCCCTGTATCATGGGACTATCGAGTCTCTGCCAAATCTCAAGGAAATCAGCATACATAGCAATCCTATCAGATGTGACTGTGTCATCCGCTGGATTAACATGAACAAAACCAACATCCGGTTTATGGAGCCAGACTCGCTGTTTTGCGTGGACCCACCTGAATTTCAAGGCCAGAATGTTCGGCAAGTGCACTTCAGAGACATGATGGAGATATGTCTCCCTCTTATAGCTCCTGAGAGCTTTCCTTCTAACTTGGATGTCGAAGTTGACAGCTATGTCTCCCTCCACTGTAGAGCTACTGCAGAGCCACAGCCTGAAATCTACTGGATAACACCTTCCGGCCAAAAACTCATGCCTAATACTCTGACAGAGAGGTTCTATGTTCATTCAGAAGGCACGCTGGATATAACTGGCATCACCCCAAAAGAAGGGGGTTTATATACATGCATAGCAACTAATCTAGTTGGTGCTGATTTAAAGTCTATTATGATCAAAGTGGATGGTTCTTTCCCCCAGGAGAGCAATGGATCTTTAAATATTAAAATAAGAGATATTCAGGCCAATTCAGTTCTAGTGTCTTGGAAAACAAGCTCTAAAATTCTCAAATCCAGTGTTACATGGACAGCCTTTGTCAAAACTGAAGATTCTCATGCTGCCCTAAGTGCTCGAATACCCTCTGATATCAAGGTATATAATCTATCTCATCTGAACCCAGCTACTGAATATAAAATTTGTATTGATGTTCCCACAGTCTATCAGAAAAATAGAAAACAATGTGTAAACGTCACCACAAAAGGCCTGGACCCTGATCACAAAGAATATGAAAAGAATAATACCACTACAGTGATGGCCTGGCTTGGAGGACTTCTGGGGATTATTGGTGTGATGTGTCTTTTCAGCTACTTCTGTCAAGAAATGAACTGCAATGGTGAACATATCCACGTAAAGAATTACTTACACAAACAAACCCTTGCATTCAGTGAGCTTTATCCTCCTCTGATAAACCTCTGGGAAGCCGGCCAAGAAAACAGTACATCTTTAGAAGTGAAAGCAACTGCCATAGGTGCACCAACAAATATGTCCTAAAAACAACCTTCTAAACCTACTTCAAAGAAAAACTCAAGACTGCAGCTATGATTTTAAAAAATATAGGCAGAGAAATATTAATTTCTAGAAAAGGGGGTTAAACTTCACCAATGCTGCTTCTGACCAAGGGAAATATGTACAAGTTCAGCATTTTAATTAACTGGCTTCAAAGGGTACTGTGGCAACCAAATAAAATAATTCCATTTTCTAGGACTTTCATGTAACTTTTATGTCTGGACTACAGTTAAAGTGAACAAAAACATTTCTGTATTTTTTTTAAGTATATAAGAGTAGTTGAACTGAGCAATACCTCTCCTGTGTTGTATTACACACATTAGCCACGAGTTTTTGCAGTGACCAGATAAACTTGAATTGACAGGTGGTGTAATAAAAAGGACAAATTCTGTAGAGTAGACACAGTGAGTATGTGGACCTTTTTTATAAGGAAAAATACATTTTGGATTAAAATCAATTGCTTTTGTCTTGTTTTTTGTTTCTAAATAAAGAATAATTTCTGGGAAATAACATCTGATCATATATCATTTAAATGACATCGTTTTCAAATGTGCTTTTCTATAGAGAAATTTGGAATGGTAAAACTAAGAAATGTCTTGGGGATTTGTTGCAATTTTGTGATGCATAAAAATCAACTTAAAAAGTTTTTCATCAGTATTAAAAGGCAATAACTGTATGGTATTTAACACTAATTACCACTCAAATCAAATCTTTCAAGAAATTATATATTCACTTAAAGATCTAACTGGAAATTATATATTTACCTAAAGATTTTTTTTACCAAGCAGCTTTTGAGGTGCATTTAATTATTAGTTTCAAATAATGTAAATCCAATACCTGAGCAAATGAAGGTCTTATTTCACTAATTAATAATAAAGCTCAGCTTTAGGATGCTTGCTTTGCAGAAAATAGTGCCAGATTTCAGTAGGGCTTATTATCTAAATGCAGTTTTCAACTTTTTTCTGTGATTTTATTTTATTTATTTATTTGTCAGTCATGGGGCTTGAACTTTGGGCTTGGGCGCTATCCCTCAGCTCTTCAGCTCAAGGCGAACGCTCTACCTCTTGAGCCACAGCATCTGTGATTTTAAACACAATGAGCTCCACTGAAATAGCAAGCAAATAATTATTTTCTAGCAAGGATGTCCTCTTTCAAAACCTCAGTTTTAGAATTTTACTATGAATTACATGAGACTAATGGTAAAAGCTAATCAGATTCAATTTTAGAAAATATTATGAAATCCTACCATTTATTTTAATATATAAAAATGACAGGACATAGTGAAGACTGAGCATCTATTAAATATTTCCTTTTCTCTTTTTGTGATTTCGAGGATTTAACTTTGTTTATTTTCTCATTTGTTTAGTTTCATCTTAAAAATAAACATCTTTGCATATTGTGGATATTATCTCCTAGTTATACATCTAAAAATATAGCATTTTCATTATGGAATGAATTTTTCATGAATAGCATTATTTCTACACCAAAAAGATTAATTTTGTTAAAACTCAAATTTAGGTTTAGCTTTATGAAATATGGTTTTTATATCTTATTTAAGAAAGAGATATTGAAATAATTTTACTGCATTTTATTCTTTTTTTAATTTTTTTGTGTACACACCATACAGAGGGGTTACAATTACATGGGCAGGATAATGCGTACTTTTCTTATCAAGCATTGCAGCCTCCTCCTTTGTTTACCCTTCACATCCCTTCCCAGCCTCCCCCCCACCTGCATTTTATTCTTAAAATGACTGAGAGTTTAAGATTTTTAATATAAAAATTTAAGAGGACAGTTTAAAAAAAACTAGTCAGGTTCATTAACAAATTTAGGATGAAACACAAAATAAGATTCAGTCCTCTAAGACTATAACTGAGGTGACCACACATCACAGTTTAAAATAGTGTGAATTATTAAAATAAAGTCAAGAAAATCACTAATTCTCTGTAAATCCTTTGTATGATTTAAAAATGAATTTCATTTGAAAAAATGAACACATATCATTGAGGGATTCAGCTAAACTTGTTTTTACAAAACCCCTCAGTCTTGCAAAATTAAATGTATTTTATATGAAGAAAATTTCATGAAATATCAGAAACTATCTACAATAATAAGCCATAATTTTAAAAGGCAAATTACTTATCTGTACAAAATGACATGGCTCCCTCATTAATTCATATTGTTCAGGTTCATAGTCAAATGTGTAGCTTTCCTTACAGTAGCTTGCTGCATAGTCCCAACATATCACTGCCCTGTAAACATTTCCAACCCTGCAGTCACATCCATTTACTTGTTAATATTAGACATTTCTTTTGCAATAGAATTGACAGTTTCCAATTAATTCTAGCTGTTCTTGACAACGTAGAAGGTAATTTCTATGGACTCTTTAAAACAAGAGGATAAATGTTGTTAATTTCAACACAACAAAAACAAAAAACTCACTAATTTAATGCATTTCCCAAACAGAAATTTTACAACCTGATGAATCACTATCACACAGAGTCTGACATTAGAATTTATCAGCAAGCCACACTCATATATCACAAGAAGTTTCAGCACCATGGACAGAGCTAACTGGAGCTCAGCTATTTGTCAAAAATATAGGCGCTGAAATGCACCTTATTAGGATGCAGGTATTGTATGGTTCAGCAAGAACTTGAACAAGCATCTTGTATGTTTCCTTTAAACTTATGTACATGAAGAACCATCACAGATAGTAGAGCTTACAATATATTGCAAGCTCTTTATTTCTTTCGAAAACTGTTATGAAATAGGCCTTTGAATAATCATCTACTAAAGAACAGTAAAATGAGGCATTTGTTACAGATAAGTAAATACAAATGGCTCAAAGCAATCATGGTCCTATTTATTTTCTTAAATTTTAATCTAAAACGCCAGTAGGAGAAAAAGAAGATAAAAACATTTTCTTCAATAAAAGAATGGTGTTTTATACTCCGTATGTTATCTCCTAAACCTGACATAAAATTAAGTACTGGTCAAAGTAGCTGATTTTGCTTTAGTTGATCTTTAGATAGTCTCACTTTATACCACAATCATTCTACATCTATCTCCTATAGTTGAAATTAAAGATATTCTCCATGAAGTCATTTGTTTGTCAACAACAACAACAAAAATCTCCCTAAGTTTTTACCTGGGCTAGCTTCCAGTTAAAATCTTTCCATCTACCTCCTGAGTTTCTGAAATTACAGGAATGTGCCAAAACTCCTAGTAACATGTTATTATTTTAGAGTATTATCTAGGTTCCCAAAGTCCAAGTAGAAATGTTAAACATCAAAGACTACAAAATTTTTTCCCATTCTCCATAGTTTTACAGCAGTGCTTCTCCCACTATCCTAAACAATGCATTATTAATTAGATCATTTTTTGGGAAAACTACAATGGAAAGAAAGGTTACTATCAGTACCATGAAGTTTTGGAAAGAGCAAGAAATTAACCCGAGTGTCAGCAAACTATTTTCTGCGCTTAGGTGTTCAGTTAAAAAGTGAAGATGTTTGATAAGGACAAAAATGGCCTAGATTTATGTTATTCTTCTAACACAAAGGAAAAGCTAAAATATTTTACATAAGTGAAAATTAGATTTAATAATATAAAAAACTATAAATTATATATCCAATCTTGATAAAAGTTGTTAAAAGACAAACACTTCAAAACATAGGTGATTCACCTTCTTGTAAAATACATAGATATTTTCTCAATGATAGAATGTCTTTTTGAACTTCCCATTTTCTTGGGTGACAAGGTTTCTTTAAGTTTTTATTTTATTTTATTTTATTTTGTCATGGGGCTTGAACTCTGGGCCTGGACACTGTTGTGAGCTCTTTAGCTCAAGGTGAGTGAGCACTCAACAACTTAAGCCACAGCACCACTTCTAGTTTTCTGATTGTTAATTGGCAGTAAGAGTGTCACAGACTTTCTTGCCCTGGCTGGCTTTGAAACACGATCCTCAGATCTCAGCCTCCTTAGTAGCAATGGATTACACGCGTGAGCCACTGGCACCAGGCTGGAGTCTTTAAGTTTCAAATAGGGACTGCAACAGTTAGCAAAGTTTTTATGCCTTGAAATAATTATAAGGTTGTTTCCCAAATCTGACCTAACAATTTCATTAATGAAATAAGTAGAAAAGCTTAAACATTGAATATCAAGAACTCATTATTCTCAAATGAAGACCTATGTTGTGATATAGATATAGATATGTAGAATACAATTCCTTTTTATTCCTACTGATCAGAGACTAGGCTCTCTCTCTCTCTCTCTCTCTCTCTCTCTCACACACACACACACACACACACACACACACACACACACTTCATAGGGCTCTTAGTTCATCTCTGAAATAAGCCATATGCTACATAACCACTTCAAATAAGTAATAAATTTAGAGAAAATATTGTATATGAATTCAAATTTATCATGGAATGGTCCAGCTTAACAAAGCATAACAACAAGAATTGTGGTTGACATCAGTAAAGCCTCTTAGAAGAATCAAGTACTGTAATATTTAGAGACTACACAGTACTATCTAGCTTTATATTTATCTTTTCTAAATCTAATATATCTTCAAAAAATAATAGCTTTATGCAACCACTGTAAGGAAAATTAGACTGTTCATTAAACTGTATGGTATACTGTCTGAGGTTATTGATTCAAAATCCAATTGTGATATCCATTTATAATGTTTATCAACCTCTGGAGCAAATAATGGAATGAGCTTTGGCCATAAACTGGCTTTCCTAATCCTTACATTGAAGGAATCAGAGTGTAATAAAATAACCTCCCTGTTATCTGTGCTACCAGATTCAAGGCTGGTAAAGACAGAAATAATTCTTAAACTATCAAAAGTTCCATTATTAAAGCAATATAGACAAGCTGACCAAATGGTTCTTCAAAAGAACACTATATAAAATTGAAATTCATTAGCAAAACTGGGATTAAGGTCAGACTTCTGGCAAACATCTCTTTAATAATGGTTACAGAGAAGAGTCACTTATTCAATAGAAAAAAATCCTTTCTCCAAAATAATTTAAAGGATTCTAGCCTTCCAATTCCCATTTTCTGCTCAGTTAGTCAATAAACTAACATTTCATTATATACATTTTTATAGTAAATAAATAGGTAGTGTTTTTAAACATTTTTTCACATATAAAGTTTATGATTTATATAGTCACATTATACCCAAAAATTGAATGTGAAAAATACTCTTTCTAACAAAAAAGCAGGGGTACAGAAAAATATATAAAACTACAATACTTATTTCTAATAAGTATTAGAAATAAGAGAATAAAATACTTATTTCTAATAACAACACTTTAATCCATACAACTCAATAGAGATTAAGTAATTGTTCTCCCCAAAATGAACTATATTAGAAACAGCAGTTAGAATTTATCTCACAAGCCACTAGTGGGTGCATGCTTATAATACCAGCAATTGTAGAGA